CCTTGGCCGGCAGCTCTGCTGGTGAGGGCCCCCTGCCTTTCTGGCCTCTGCCTCGAGCTTGGGCCCTCCTGTCCACTTTCTCCATAGCGAGTGGACTTCGAAGCCGCAGCTCGCATCACATCACACCCCCCCGCACATGAGGGGCTGCACCCCTGACCTCCACCGCCGTGGCCTTGGGTAGCCCCGTCACCTTGGCAGGCTGGGCTCAGGACACCCTCTGCTGGAGGACGCTGTGACCATCGTCCCCGGGGACCCCCACATCTCTGCAGCTCCTTGAGCACATGCGTGCCTCTCACTGTGTTTCGTGTTCCATTTGTATCTGTTTCCTGTTCTCAGTTCCAAGCAGGTAGATGCCACGGGAGAGGAGCAGGCTCTGTTTGGATGGTGCTTCAGAGTCCTCGGGTTGGATGAAGACGAACGTCCCAGGCAAGTGCATGAGCGGGGAGCACGGGAATCCTGGTGCAGGGATGGCGTTCACTGCGACTGCTCCCTTCCTCTCCTCCTCCTGCAATGAGTGAGCGCTCCCTAGTCCTGCGCTCCTGGACTGCTAGCTGGGGATGGGGGCTCCCTGCTCCTTCTCCAGGAGCCAGCACTGAGGATCAGAAGGATTAGCTCCTGTGCGTGAGACACAGTCAAGGGCAGGGACTCCAGACTAAGCTGATGTCTGCGCACCGGGACCTTCTTTGTCCTTGGGGTCACTTTACCTGTGTCCTCGGAATCATCATGAGCATCAGTGGCATCAAAATCAGTCAGCCGGAAGTAAGAGGAGAGCGGGGCAGCGGGCGGGGCAGGCTCGGAAGAGGCCGGGAGAGGCTCCTGGGCCCCCCTTGCTTCGCGCCAAAGCTGACAACCAATTCTAAGCAGTTCTCAGCATCGGCGCCCTCTGAGCCTTGAGCGGCGCGTGTGGGGAACACGTGACCCACTCCAGATATTTTTAGTGATCTTTACTGGGCTAGACTGGGCCTGGTTTGGCCGTGACTCCCCACTGTTCAGCACAATGCCGAACACATCCACATCTGTATTTACTGAAAGACTAATTCGAATGCTTTCTCCATCCCAGCACTGTGTGCTGCCTCAGTCGGGTCCCCAGAGCAGCCCTCGGGTCTGAAGCCCGAAGCCGCGCTGATTAGCACAGGTGGCTCCTCCAGCCATGGCTTCTGCAAGGCGGATTTGGTTTTACCTCTGTCTGGTGACACTCCGCCCCGCCAGCCAACATGGCCTTCCGCATCCACTGATCCCTAATAATTATTAATTGATGAGGGTGCTTTCTTGGTTTGAATGCTTAAACCACAAGCTCTCTGAACATGATGGGAGTTGCAGCATATTTTAATTAAATCCTGACAACTTTAATTCTGACTGCTCATACTAATACTTCTGAGCGGATAGCAGCAAGCTAATGGCTTGTTCATTTTGGAAGATATTAGCAGCAGGGTGCTGCCTTTTACCCAAACATAAGATCATAATAATTAAAATCCGATATTGCTTGAAATGAACTCCTTGGAAGTAATTTCTTTCCCACGAACACACACAGATGCGGGCATGTATGTGCGCACATTCTCGGGATTTACGACCCCTTGGAGAAACTGTGTCCATGCTTTTCCAAAATGAAAAGTTTTCTGCTGACATGATGACAGACTCTTTACTAGGTTCAGGGGAAATGTGTGTTTCCATGGATCAATTTCTGCCTTCCCCAGAAGAGGGGAGCCACAGAGAAATCCTGAAGACTAATGACCGTGGGAGCAGAGTGTATTGTACTTTGCTGGGTCAATCACCGTCTCAATCACTGTATCAGAGAATGAGACAAAGGAAAATCTTAGGGCGGGTGTGCCGGGGAAGGGAACTGCAGAGTAGGTGAGGGGGCGGGGGGAGGCGAAGCGGGGAGAGAAGGTGTCTGAATGTACAAGGAGATCAAACAGCTGAGTCAGAGGACCCGAGAAAGCCCACACAACCTCCTGTGGTAACTTATAGCTTCTGCAAACTCGCCCTGCGCTACCTTGGCGCCTCCGGCGGTGGAGACCCCAGGACCTTGGGTGCTTGCTGGGCAGCATGGTTCTGAAACAGAGGTCACGTTAGGGGCCGTGAGCCCCCTAAAGCTCACATTTATAGATTCACGCGAAAGCGGGCAGAGACAGACTGTCACCATTCCCCCGAGGACGAATTATACAGTGGAGGTGGCATCCTCTGAATCTTCAGGGGCCCACTAATCTTTCCTCAGAAGGTGTGGATGAGCAAAGCAAAATCCAAACAAGAGATACAGATATTTCCCGTTACCTTCGTAAAGTTCAAAAAGGATTTTCCATACATCTTTAAAACAGGCCCACCCTGGTGGCGCAGCGGGTCAGGACACAGCACCGCACGCTGGCCATAGTCACTTCAGTGTGAGTTCGATGCCCGCCCCAGAGGTGACCCACAGGACACAGCAGACCTCTCCTGACGCGCCGCCGCTCCCCTCAGCAGTGCATTTCAGCGATCTGCCTGTGCTGCTTCCCGTTCTGTCTCTGGTGCATCCTCTCATCGCCCCTGCACCTCTGGCCTGCACCCCAGCTCTGTGTGCACAAATAACGTTAAAAGAAAATCTTTAAAATGAAAAACAGAGCCCCATCGTCCAAAGGAGATGTAGACACTGCCCCTGGTAGGGAATCATAGGCCACCTCCACACGCTCTGGCCCGGCCGGATGGATCCTCGCTAATCCTGCCTGCTCAAGGGCGCCGCATCGCGGGGCTGGAAGTGCCAGTCTGGACGGGCGGAACGTTCTCAGCACATTCCGCCAAGAGCTGAGATCTCCTGGGTGCTCGCTCCCTCATGCCAAGCCGCCTCGCAGAAACTTCGCCCACCAGACGTCCGCGGCCCTCACCGCGCTTTGTGAAGTTGGCGCGTCTTGGCTCATCCTCTTTTACAGACGGGGCGACTGAGATTGAGGGGGGCTGCCCACGACTTGTTTAAAGTCCCACAGTGAGGTGCTTCCGCTCTCTCTGCCCTCTCCCGCAGGAAAAGCCACAGTAAGACGCTCTGGAGACCCCAACAACTGGCCTCAGCGCCGGGAGCAGCTTCCTCTTGGCGCTCCTCATTCACTTTGTCCCGCGGAGGCAATACAGGGAGCCAGCTTTGGAGAATTTATTTTTACTGCTCCTGCATGGAGAATTGAGGGAAGGGGTGTGGGGCAAAGAGGGGCTGAGGTTGGAAAAGAGCCGCGATGACTGCCCTGCGTGTTTGAGGTGAACTAACCATTTCAGAGTCAGCTGACACGCCTGCTTGGCAAAACTGAGGATTCCGCTCCTCCCGGACAGGTCCCTTGACCACGCCCTTGCTGCTGGGTATTTCTAACAATTGATCCTGATGGAATTTCTGACGGACAGTGGCAAGCACAAAAAAATTCCGGTGTGAGGCCCTCCCTGGTGGCACAGCGGGTTAAAGCACAGCACTGAGAAGCTAAAGCCTCTTCCGCATGAGTTCGATCCCGCCTGCCCCGGAGGTGACCACATGGCGTGGCAGACCTCTCCTGACCCGCCCGCTGCTCCCCTCAGCAGTGTACTTCGTCTATCTGCCTGTTCTGCTCCCTGCTCTGTCTCTGGTGAAGCCTCTCACCGCCCCTGAGCCTCTGGCCTGTACCCCAGTTCTGTATGCACAAATAAATAAATCTTAAACAAAAAAAAAAATTCCGGTGTGCCCCTCCCCTCGCTTCCACAGCTGTTAATGACTCACCACATTTCACCGTGTTATGCTCATCACAGCAAAACCCCACTCACGTATCTCTCTTCCCTGGGGCTGTGCCTCAGCCCCTCCTGGCCTTTCCCGTGGGTCAGCTGTTCTGTCCAGTCTCTCAGTGTGAGCTTTTGCCTGGTGTCCTGACAGATGCGGGATTTGCACTGTAGGCAGGGAGGAGGCTTGGTCCTGGCCCTGTGACCTCTTGGTGAGGGTGGGGTTGCCAGGTTTCCTCACTGGGAGTCGCTATTATGTACCCTCACCACCGACATTTAAAATCATTATGATATGACATGTAGAACTCAACATTGACCATTTTAAGCCAGTTTTGGTTCCAGTTCTGCAGCATCAGACACATTCACATCATGGAGCGAGTCTCCCCTCATCCACGGGGCTTTTTCACCTTCCGCACTGTCTTCTGCGCCGTTAAACCCTCACTTCTCATTCTCCCCCACGCCAGCGCTGACAGCCACAAGGCTGCTCTCTGTCTTTGTGAAATTGACTTCTCTATTTGGGTTTCTCCGAGAAATGGATCTTGCAGTATGTGTCCCCTTGAGACTGGCTTGTTTGACTCAGCCCGGTGCTGTCAAGGTTCTTCTATGTTGTGGCCTGTGTCAGAATTTCCTTGCTTCTAATGCTGGAAGAGCCCTCTGCACGTCGACACCACGGGTCACTCAGCAGGCATGGGGCACTGAGCAGTGCCCCCGCCTTTTGCCTACGGTGCGTAAGGCTGTGGGGAGCACAGGTCATGAATGCCTGTTTCAGTCCTGCCTACCTTCTTTTGAGTATATAGCCAGGGCTGAGATTGCCGGATTTTGAATTTTTCCATCTTAACCAGTGTTTTTCCTGGATGGTGACCCTTGGAGACTAAGTACTGGGGTGGGACAACTGTCTTTCTGTCCTCCCTTCTGCGTTTACTCGTTGGCATTCAACCTAGGGAAGACGCTTCCCTGCTCCCCATTCATTGACGGATACGGTCCCATTTTATTCAACAGGTCACAATTCTTCACTCTAGGGACACTTGATGGCTTTTCTTTCCCACAAGTCTCCCAAGAGGACGAGGAATTGTCTGTATTTCCTTGTCACTGTTAGGAAACCCGAGAGTGCAGCCCAGCTTCCCCCACATCAGACGATAGCCTCCCCCCGACCATTCATTCCCCGCTGTCGTTTGGCCAAGTGGAAGCCCCGCTTCTGAGCGCGCACCCCCAGTCCGGCAGCCCCGGGAACTACATTTCCCAGAGGCCCTCGGGGTTGCGTCATCAGCGAGCGCGGTCGCCGGCGGAGCGGCTCCGGGCAGCCTACGGTGGCGGCGGCAACATGGCCGACGTGCTGAGCGTCGGGGTGAACCTGGAGGCTTTTGCACAGGCCATCAGTGCCATCCAGGCGCTGCGCTCCAGCGTGAGCAGGGTGTTCGACTGCCTGAAGGATGGCATGCGGAACAAGGAGACGCTGGAGGGCCGGGAGAAGGCCTTCATCGCGCACTTCCAGGACAACTTGCTTTCTGTCAACCGGGACCTCAAGTAGGTGCGGGCTGCAGGCGGGGGTCGCGGACCCGCGGGCTCCGATCGCGGGCCTCGCCGCTCCAGGGGCCCCTGTCGGGGACCGCCCTCCCCTCGCTTACTCCCTGTCGCGGCCTCTCCCTCCCCACCAGGCTTGTCCCTGCCCCCCGGATCGCCTCATCTCCCACCCCCGCTTCCCGCCTCTCTTCTCTTGGCCGCTGCCCCCCTGCCCGCCCGGACTCCCTCTGGGATCGTTCACTCCTCGCCCCAGCCCGGCAGGTGTCTCACCTGTAGGTGCCGGCGGCCCACGATGTCGGCCGAGCGGTCTGCGGTGCGCAGGGGACCAGCTCAGTGCGCCCCAGCCTGAACCCGGGCTCTCCACTTGCTCCTACCCCACCCGCAAAGGACAAAACAAACCCCGATCTAAGGCTCCCTCTCCCCCTGCCCGCCCCCAAATCGCCGAGCAGTGGCCCTGTCAGATCTTCCTCCTGGAGACCCCATCTCAGTCGAGCCAGGTCATCACTTAGGCTTCGCCCCCCGCCACGACTATTTCGCAGTTCTTTCAGTTCAGGATTATATACTTTTTTCTCTTGCAGCGCACCTTCCACTTTTTAAGTGCTGTAAGAATTAAAGAGGCTGTTTGTAAGGTACCTGGCGCCTAGCAGGGACTCTGATGGGTGAGGTTCTGGGTTCCTCTCCCTTCTTGAGCAGTCGGTCCTATTCAGGAAGGTTAAGATTCCAGGACTTTTGTGTTTAACTTCTTAGAATTGACCTTGCCAGAGAAAGACACTTTGTGAACTGGTCATCGTAAGAATTTTGGCGTGTTTGGGCTTTTTCCTCCTCGGCTGGTATCCTTTGTAGCCACCCGGAAGGAGGCAGCGGAATTGGGGGTGAAGGGGTGTGATCCTTCCAAGCTTCCCTGTGCCAGACCAGTTTTCGGGGGGGGGTGCGGGGGAGGAGGCCAGGACACCACACGCTCCCCGGGCCTCACACACCCCAGCTGCTCTCTGGTTGGTGTCGGTTAGCCCGCTCCCTGGTGGAGGGACCTGACGCCCCCTGTCCGCTCTGCTTTCACCCCTGTCAACTTGCTTTCCTGTGTGGAGTTCGGAGGGCACAAGCCTTGAGCGCTGGACAAGTGCACAATCTTTACATTACCCCTTGTCCGGTAGAAGCAAGAAAGTGGCCAAGAGCGCCAGCCAAGGGCACGTGGGCACGGCGCCTCCGAGTCTCTGCCACCAGCCCCTCCGCGCCCCTGCGGTGCGCTTCTGCCCGAGTTTCTCTGGAGTCGCCTGCTAGACTGAAGTGTGTTTGACACGGCGCCTTTGGTGTCTTCCCGATCCGTTTGTTTGTTTTATCTCTTCTTTGTTTTGTGAAGTTTTGCCATCTGTGAAGCCTCATGTACAGAGCTATCCCCAGGTGAATGACAAATAATCAGCATTTATTCAGGTAATTGCTTTTCCACCAAATGTGATGATCCGTAGGTGGGTCTGGAAACTCTTAGTGAGCAGCGGCTCCGCCACGTTTCAAGATCCAGTAAGTCCTACTCCCTCAGGCCCCCCGAAGAGGTCGGGGCGCCCACTCCTGATTTGGGGAGCCTTATTGATTCCAGGGCTCATGACTTTTTTCCTGCTTTGGAAAGGAAGGAACTTCCTCCTCCTCCAGAGACGTCGGTGTCAAATTTTGGCGACTTCCCAGTGAGCCTTTTCCTCGATTGTCCCTCCTGCTTTCAACCTCTCAAAAAGTACTTCCTAAGGCCCTGCCTTCAGGCTTTTTGAAGAGCAGCCTTTGACCTTGGCCGCTGCACACTGCAGGTCTCCGCGATCACTTTTATTGCTCTGTTCCCCTTGCAGCGAGCTGGAGCGTCTGAGCAACTTGGTGGGCAAGCCGTCTGAGAGCCACCCTCTCCACAACAGCGGGCTGCTGAGCCTGGACCCAGTGCAGGACAAGACCCCCCTCTACAGCCAGCTCCTTCAGGCCTACAAGTGGTCCAACAAGGTAAGGGAGCCGTGCCAGGAGCGGAGGCGACACGGCCGACGCCCCTTTGCTTGCCTGCGTAGATGCAGAGGCGAGGTGCGTTCCCACTCCCTGTTTGTTCTTGATTCAGCGTGGAGTTAGAGTGGAAGTCTTCGAATTTCCCATGAGCTATTTTGCAGTCCTTTGACGTCTTGGAGGACTAATCGGAATGCTAGGTAATGGCGCTGAAAACAAAAAACTTCCAAGTAGCCATAGAAGACGGCTGTGGGGCACAGCTTTATGGACCCCTTGAAAGTTTATGCAGAATGTCACTGTACGTGCAGTTTTGGGGGATGACTGACGAGCTTTCCTCCGCTTCTCGGGGCCTTGACCCAGGAGCAGCTGGGGCCCGGGCGCGAGTGAGGTGGAGTGAGGTGGGCTGCGCTGCGCCCTCGCCAAGAGCGCCCTGCCGGTGCTGCTGGCGGTGACTCAGGCGGCCTCTGGCTCCTTGGCCTGTCTGCGGGGGATGGTTCTGAACACGCATGGTGTTTGCTGTTCGCAGTCGGCAGCGGCAGGCCTGGGGCTTGGGCCGGGGGAGCTTAGAAGGTTGCTGAGCTGCAGGCTAAAAATAACAGGGACGGCAAGGCTCGTCAGCCTGGAAACAGGTAGTGTGTTTACGACAGACGCCTCCTGTTCGTGTGGGGGTTCTTCGTTGTGTTTATTCCCTGCCGGTAGGGAGCTCGCAGACACGCCTAGACGGAGCTGGGAAGCGCCTCTCGGCCTGTGCACCCCGGCACGAATGCCCCTCCAGTTAGCCGTCACCCGCCCCCCGTTCTGTCTCCTTGCCCCCCTCAGGCCTTGGGTGACAGAAGCCTGCACAGCTTTCCGGCCTTTCTGCTGGCGGCGGCCTCGCGAGTCTGCAGGGCCCTTCGCAGCGGGGGCTGGGACCAGGGAGGAGCGGGGCCGGACCCTGCCCTTGGCCGTCGGCCTTCCCTGTGGGCTCGGGGCTGCTGTGGACAGGAACCCAGCTTGACCCTGAGGGTCGCGTGCGTGGGGTCGGGGAGGCTGTCACTCTCCTGCCCTCTGGACTCGCTGTCCTGTGCTGGCCTGATGGTCTCCCGGGTGGGAAGACCGCCCGGGGGTGTTTGTGCGTGCTCCTCACCCCAGCCCGTCTCGCCTTGCCCCCGCCACGCCCCGAAGGAGGGTTCGGTTGGTCCCTCCCTAGCTGGATGGTTCGTTTGGTCCAGGGGTGGGGGTCGCTGACTGGCCTGCCCTGACCACCCGCAGCCCAGCTGGGCTTCTCGGAGTGGGGGGAGGCACTTCCCGGAGGGGGGTCTGGAGTCCGAGAGGGCGGCTCCTCAAGGGAGCGTGCGGCTGCCTGGTGGTCACCAAGGCAGCCGTGGGATCGTGCCCGCCAGACGCAGGCCAGCTCTGCCCTTTCTGCTGTCCTGGGGGGGGTGCCCAGGGTGCCCGGGGATGCCCTGCGTCGTCTCCGCACGAGGTCGGTCGCCTGGTGACTGGGGCCTCATCGGGGGGCGTGGTGCGGCCTGTTTCTGGTTGGACTGTGGCGGAAAGTCTTGCTCTTCCGCCGTTTGGTCACGTGGGTCAGGCTGCTGTTGGAAGAGCCTAAAGGCACAGAGGCTCGGTGGGCGGACGCAGGCCGGTCTGGAATGGCGGCGCCTTCCTCCGGCAGAGGCGTTTAACTGCCTGCAGGACCCAGCAGTTGCTGAAGTGCTGCCGGTCAGCCCTCAGACCCCTGCTCTGCGGGGGAAGGCGCCAGAAGGCCACGCTGGCTTGTGCTCAGGGAGGGCCTCGTCCTGGGTGCCGCCGCTGACAGAAGTGGCGATTCAGCCCGCGGCGCAGCCCCCGTGGGCAGCGGCAACGCTGCCGGCCAGCGCCGTGCTGGAGTCGCTGGAAGTCACTGGCCTCCCGCTGGCCCCTGGGGCCCGGCAGGGCGGGGCGGGGCGGCCTGTGCCGTTGGCGGGTAGAGGAGGAGAGAATGGCCGAGAAGCCTTTAGTTCTGCCCCGTTCTGGAGCTGGGCAGACGGAGGCCCAGCGAGGGCCCACTTGGGGTCTCGCCGCGAAGAGGCCCCGTGACGCCTGACGCAGCCCTGTGCCCGGCTCCGGCTGGGGTGCTCTGGTCCAGCGAGGCTCGAGGCTGCGCTGCAGGAGCGTTTCTCCGCCCCGTCGGCCTCCTCGAGACGCGCCCGTGCCGTTTTAGTCATGAGTCAGTGGGCATTTTACCACTGTCAGAGGCTTCATTGAGGGAGGGACATGGCGCAGCCGGGGCACACGGGACCCCGCGCTGTCGCTGTGCTCAGGTGGCCTCACCCCCGCGTGTCTCCGGCCGCAGCCGTGTCTGGCTGGCGGTTCTGCTCTGGGCGAGGGCCGGTAGATCTCGGCCTGGTGACTGTTGCCCCTTTACACCATACGCGACCCCAGAGGAGACTCGGTCGGTGACGGCCTGGCTAGCTCGGCTGACCGCTAGCTCGCCAGGGTCAGCCTTACCTGCCGGTGGCCGAGCGCGAAAGGCAAGGGAGGAGGTTCGGGGCTCTCGGACCCACCGGCGCGCCAGGAGCTCTGTCTGGTGAGCGGTTGACCACGGCGGGGCGGCTCGTGTCTCACGACGTCGCTTTCTTTCGGGGACAAGGTCGGGTTTGTGACGTCAGCTGGAGCATTAACTACGTGGCAGTTGCCTTGCCTGTTAGCATAACACGCTCAGAAGTCTAAGCTGGTGAAATGGTGCCCAGCTGCTGTGCACGGCGCTCTCCATGCTAAACCGGGCAGAGGACTCGGCGTCCCAGCGCTGGTGCCCTTTGGCGAGTGCCCTGAGTGACTGACACTCTCCTGACGGGGGCAAAGATGCCTGGCATCAGGGCCGGCCGCGCTGGGAAGCCACCAGCCCTATGCTCACTGACTCCCGCAGACACCTGCACCCCTGTCACCTCCCGACGTGCGGGGCGGAGCCTCTGAAGGCCCCTGCGCGGTCCTGTCACGCTTCCGGCTCTCTCATCCGCCCCGGCGCGGGCCCCTGGTGCTTGCCGGATGCACCAGGCCTCCGCCCGTCTCGCCGGCCGCCTCTGGGGCAGCGGAGGCCGGGGTGTCCCTGTCTCCTGGGCAGGAGCGTGGCCAGAGGGGGCTGCCGTCGGCTCTGGCTGGACTTGATTAACTTTCCCCTTATTAAGAGAAAGAGCAGCTCTGTTCCAAGAACATCCACTTGGGGAATGTGAAGACGGTCGCCCCACCTCCCCCGATCGTGCAGAATTAGCTCCTCAGGGGCTTAGTCACCGACAGGCATCCCCCAGCCCACCCTTGAGGGGCTCTTTCTGTTTCTGCATCACGGGCCCAGGGAGGGCAGCACGGAGCTTTTCGCTTCGGGGCCCGGCCGGGGTAGCCCCGGAGGAGAGGCGATGGGTCTGTGTGCTCGCTGTGGCGTCCCCACACCTAGCGAGGCGCCTGCCACACGGTGAGCGCTCAGTCGTGTCCATTAACTGGGTGACAATGAATAAAAGCTTTTTCTGTTGAATTTTTAATTTACAACCCCGTTTGTGGTCTGCCTGTACTTTTGATGCCGTGGACAGAGCCGGCCACTCTCGGCACTCCGGGACGCTCCGCTGCGCTCCCCGAGGGAGGCGCTGGATTCCAGGAGGGGAAGGGGAGGCCCGGCGGGTCGCGGGGGGCTGTGACTGCTCTTTGGGGGCCGGGTTGGCAGCCTTATCTCCTCGCTTGCCGCCAGTGCCCTCCTCAGCGGCTGGCCGCCCGCCAGGCCGAGCAGGGGACGGGCCGGCGCACGCCTGGGTCTGGCCGAGTCGGGCTGCGGGCGCGGCGCTGTCCTGGCAGTGGAGCCGGGGAGAGTCAGGGCCGCCGCCAGCGACCCCGCGCGTTGGCAGTGACCAGGTCAGGCGCTGGCGCTTCTCTCCCCACACAGCCGCCCGGACTCGTCTCCCTCCTGCCGTGTTCAGAGCCTCCGGGCCGTCCAGAGCGCGACGCGGCAGGGCCATCCCTGGCAGCCCCTCGCGCGTCACTCAGGCGGCCTCGTTGGCATAGGGGTGCTTGAAGCCCACCCCACCCCCGTTAGCCAAGGAGCGGAGAATAGCGCAGCCCGAGAAGCAGGACCGTGTCCTGGAGCTCGGATGCCCGGGACAGACAGGGCAGGGGAGGCCCAGCTGCCCCGCGCAGCCTCTGGAGCGTCTGGCTCGGCTGCCTGAGTGCTGGCCTGGCGCTGCCCCGCTCTGGGGCTGGAACGGCGCAGTCTTGAGGCTTCGGTTTCCTTGTGCTAAAGTTCGTGTGGCCGTGTGAGGAGGGAGCGCGGTGAGCCGAGTCGGGCGAGCGCTCGTGCGGGGCTCTGAGTGGTGGCTGCCCCGACCAGGCCTGGGATCGCGCCGTGAGTCAGCCCCAGGAGCCGTCTCCCTGGGCCTCAGGTGTCTGTTGTCCGCGGGGAGCATAATTGTACCCTTCTCACAAGGACATCGTGAGGCCAGACGTGGGGACACAGCTGGCGCACGGGACGCAGCGCGGCCGGCCTTGCCCTGCGTGACGAGGCCGCTGCCGGCAGGGACTCCTGCCCCGCGCGACCCCACACTCAGAGCCCGGCCCCGGAGCCTGGGCGTGCCGACGTGGCGGCCGGCCTGCTGGGGGCCGGCTCCGCTCCCAAACCCGGGCCGCGCCGAGGGCGTGGAGTTTGCTGAGGGAGGTGCTTCTCTTCTTAGTCTGAGGCTGCCGGGCACTGGGATGTGCGACTCGAGGGGCAGTAAAGGTCGGGGGGTCCCCAGGAAGGAAGCCCAGGAGGCCTGAGGGGACTGCAGGGAGGACAGGGGCTTGATTTGCGCAGACAGACCTTTGCCCAAAGCCAGGAGGCGTCTCCATTTGGCGCTCGGTAAACCCTCCTGGAGCCGGCTGTGCTGGCCCGGGCTCGCTAGGGTCTCTTTAGAAAAATGCTGTGCACCAAGGCCAGGCTCGAGCTGAGCTTGGGGTGACGCGGGTCAGCGGAGTGGCTGCCTGCAGCGGCGGAGCCCTGGACCCCCACTGCTGGGCTTAACCCC